TGGAACTCAATGAATATCTATTTTTTAATAATTTTATGAGAGAGATTGTATCTTTCACTGTTTTTTTTTTTTTTTTTTGTTTATAGTGAAAAATCTCTATTATACTTTTACCATGGATATAACCTAAATGGGTGAACCATGTAAATTATTGTGTCTCTTCTATTTTTATCTGTTTTCTTTATTTTTTTTATTTTTTTGCTTTTATATACTTGATTGTTTATCAAGCCGCTTGATCTAGGGGCCAATTATTTCAGTACTTACAAAATTTTATAAGATAATCTTGAAAAGAATGTTATTGTTTCTTAAACAGAAAAAATCGGTTCTCCATACTAGCCTGTAGCCAGATTGTATGGTAGGGTATTGATCAGCATGTAGGAACTGCTTTGTTTCAAGAATTTTAATCTTTGGCAGGTTCAAAGTTTAAGAAGATAATAGTTTTTAATAAAGAACCGGAAGTTACAAAGGGTTCTCACTCAGCTGATTTGAGCTGTGAAATGTGGCATTCATTTTCAAAGTTCATCGTCCAACTTTGTTTCTTCGTGTCACTAAAGCAAATTAATTCATCATCTTTGGACAATGCTGGAAATGGAATCAGGTATAGTGAAAGGATATAAAAGCCCAAAAAGCCCATGAACCCATTCAAAGGAGTCTTCTATAAAGGCCCAACTTATGGAAAGGCACAACAGAAAGAGATCTCAAGAATGGCACATTCTTCAAAATGACACACTTATACATGATAAATCTTGACCATTGATGTAAATAGATCCTAAACGTTCACGCGGGAGGACTTGGCCTATAAATAGACTTACAAGCTTTCCTGGAATTTCTTCTCTTCTCTCCATTGTTATTTCTCTCTAGAGTTCTCTAGCCTTGAGATAGCGTGCGTGAGTTAGGCTGCTTAGCATAGTTTTGAGAGTGCTAAGGCCGCATGGGTTCCTTGGTAAAGGATAAGCTCGTGATAGTTGGTATCAAAACGTCTGTTCATACAATGGTAAAGGAAGGCTCCATCAAGGGATCAAGAAGATCCAACCCGTACAGGAGCGAGGTCGTGAAGAGATTGTCGACAGCAATGTTCCAATCTCTAGTTTTGAATCACGTCTGTCTTGTGTAGAGGAAAGTGTGAGAGGCTCTGATACCAACTGTCACGGACTTATCCTTTTATCTTCATTAAACTTGCATCAAGCAAAGACCAACTTTTCCTGTTTTCTGTCACCTGATTCAGTGAATCCTGACTTAATAACAAACGCTTCAGACTTGTCAATTTCCCTATATCTTGTGGTAGGTTTTTAAGATTCCAACATTTGCTAACACAGAAGTCTCTAAATTAGCTAACTCAAAGGCTCAGGCAATTCCTTCAGCCACTGCAGCTGCATAAATTGAGGTATTAACTTTCCTAATCCTTGTAGAAGTTGTTGAAAGTTTTCTAGATTGGATATTTCACACATTGAATCTTGCAACTGTCTTAAATTCTAGCAAACATATAACTTATAAATTTTACGTTTATTAAACAATCTCCAAGGGAAGATTATACTTGTACACCTTAATTATTCTATTGGTTGAGTGATTAAGAAAATGAATGATTTCTGAATGGTTTTCTGAATGTTGATTAGATGTCAAGAGTTTGACTACAATTCCCCCCCAAAAATGTGGCTTTGGTAGAAATGAAAGCTTGAGATGGGTAGTCTTAGGTTAAATAGACCATAGAAAACATTACAAATATTCAATGTGCAATTCTTGATTGTTAATGGCATTTATTCATTATTGATATGACAGTTTTTGATCCATCGATATTTTTTAGGGAAAAAAAAATTGTGTTTTCCAAACGCAGTTTTCTAAATATAAAACGGGTTTTTCAAAGCAATCGTATCTCAAATTTGGTATGAACAAAGTTTCGATCTTAAGATCTATTATACACTTATAGATTAATATTATCAAAGAAAGATACATTTAGAAGTGAAATATACTAGTTGTACTGATACATCAATCATAGTAATTTAGGCATTGCTGCATTGACCATGACTGTGCTGCTCTGTGCTATGCTTTCTCGTTTGATTACTATCATAGTTAAGAAAATGTCAAGAAAAATACCAGTAATGGTGGATGTGCTAGTGAGGGGTTCTGATTCATTACTGGCCGGTATTGTTAATGGGCTATTGAATGCTTCTGGAACATGGTCCATTATTATATCTTGATTGAGTATTTGTAAACCTAAATCAAATAACGTAGTGGTATTTTTGAGATGCTCAGAAATCCTTGAATTGATATAAAACCTCCATAAACTTGTTCTAATTCAATAGTATATCTGTAACAAGTTAATATAGATAATCCTTATAGCATGCGAAATTAAGTATGAAGTAACAATGTCCAAACCAAAGATACTATCAGACAAATTATATACTCTCTAAGTCTTGCACACTTTTTGATAAATCAATTTTATCTCTCCTTAAACTAACTTTTTCCTCTGATATTGCAAGTAGGAAAATTTTGTTTTTCTCGTTATGTACACATGTGTGAAATACTGAAATAATTAATATGTTTATATTGTCATTTTCTCTCTCTTACTTACTACCGTTTCTTTTCTTCTATTCGTCGCTCACTTCCATTTCTTTTATCCTGTTTGTCACTCACCATGGCCATCTCTTTTTACTGACTTCCATCTCTCTAATTCTGATGTGGGCGATTAAAAATGTGGAAGAGAGGAGATGAGGGGAAGAGATGGAGAAAGAGAGAGAGGAGATGTGGGCTATAGAAAAAGTGGAGAGAGGAGATGATGGGCAGAGTAGAGAAAGGGAGAAAGGAGATGTGGGTGATTAAAAATGTGGAAGAGAGGAGATGAGGGAAAGAGAGAGGAGATGTGGGCCATAGAAAAAGTGGAGAGAGGAGATGAGGGGTAGAGTAGAGAAAGAGAGAAAAGAGATGTAGGTAGAGACACAGTGAAAGAGAAAAGAGGCAAATGTCGAGCAAGAGAGAGGGTTGAGTTAGTAACGTTATTGATTTTGGAAAAAACCAATACCCTCAAAACGACAATTATAAAGAAAACGGAAGGAGTATATATCAAGACAAGAACACAAATGACGTGGTTCAGTCAATATACCAATGTTCACAGGGTGGTAATGTTGGTTTCAGATGAAACAAGAATGACAGAGCACTGTCACACACCCTTTCACTTGGATGCCATGTCGTTCTTTAATGTATGAAAGGGACAAGAAAACGTTCGTTAATGAAGATTACAATTTGTTCACATAGTCTCATTATTTTTTTGTCAATCATCCTCCACGGTACTCATCATAAGCCAACTTTTGATTTCAATCATATTTTAATTCAGCAAGAGTCCTTTCTATAAATGCTTGTGTCAGACACATTGAATATAATTCCAATGAAATTAAATCATTGGTGTCTGTCAATGTCAAATGTGTTAATCAACTCAACAGAAGCAAGAAATTTCAATTCAACTTCGAGTTGATTGTTGTGTAACTAAAAAGCAATATGGCTTCCAACAATTTCTTTTCTTTCTTGAGTGAATATAAATATATAATCAAAAGCAACCTTGCCAAGGTGAGCAGGAAAAACCACGATTCAAGTCTTTCACTATCACAAAAAATGGGAATACAAAGTCTTAACTAGAGGTATACAATCATCATAAACTTCACAAATCCAACACCAACAATCTCAGCAAAACTGGAAACAAAATATCACAAATTTGCATTCAGGATATGCTGTCCGAGAAGCAGATGCAGAAAGGGAGAGATACAGAAAGCTCAATGTCAAGTAGCTAGCTGAGTTTTGAGATAAGATACATTCTGACCATTTGAGACTTGTCTTGCTATAAATCTTAACTTTCATCCCATTTGACTCTCCATGTGCATGCTTTATTACCACTCTTTGGATTTATATCATTGCAAAACTAGGTTCCTGTCTATGCAGTAGATGTTGTTTGAGGAGTTCCCAGTAATAGAGTGATGAAAATTTGATAAAATAAAGGGGTTGGCATTGCTAAAATAACTCACCAAAAAATAAGCATTCAATTTGACTGAGCACAAGTTCCTGTCTATGTATTACATGTTGTTTCAAAACTGAAGTAATTGAGATTTGTCACGTCTTGTTGCCATATGGTAAATATCTCTTTCAGAAGATACCTTCTGTTCATGAGATAACATGACATAACTTTAGAAGGAGATTAACAATTATCATGACAGAAGAATCATAATATCTTGTATCTTAAGCAAAACAGTTTTTGCTCTTTTGGAAACATGATCTGAAATATGTCTACAGAAATGCAGACGTGAAATGGATTACTACTTTCAAACAAAGGACAACAAGGCTTCATTCTTTACATGAAACAGAATAATATGACTAACCAGTAAAACTTATAGAGCAAGTTTCTTGTCATAGATAACAGTAATTTCTCATAAAAGGAAGGTTTATGATCATTATTCATCAATATGTAGTGCAACAATGAAACCGAAGTACCTTTGGGCTGTGCAAAAGGATTCTGCCAAATAATCATTCATAGGACTCTTCATACAGGCAACCCTTGTTGATGATAGTTAGGCTGAAATTCTGGGCTGAGATGCTTAATTGGATAACACCATGATTGCATCCACAAAAGGCTGAACATATATAATGAGTACAAAACTAGAAAGAAGATGATAGAATCCAAAAAGACTAAAATATGTTTCCTTTTCCAACGGAGCAACATGAAATTTCATTCAAAAATTTCTCTACTAGTGAATTACAAATAACAACTAATTGCTTTACCTACTTTGCTTACCTGCTTCCAATTCTCCTATCTCATTCATGCTTCTGGACTCCATGGTTTGCCAGACTGTAACATCATGACCACAATTCACATAAATAACAGAAAACCTAAGTATGAATATATCAAGCATAGATATTCTTAAAGTAGAATTGACTGTCTCCAACTATGAGCAAAACGTTTGCGAGGAGAAATACCTAAACATGGTCAGGAAGTCATCGACAAGTCCTTTAATGCAGCCAGAACTCTAGATGTGAAATTCAGGGTTAAGATGCCTTGATAACTTGTTGATTGCATTATAGCTGCCCAAGAAATACAAGGACTAACTGTTTCAACAAATTTGGACAAGGCTGTCTTAATTTAATCTATAGCCTGCAACAAACAAAGAAAGAGAAAGGCTTAGCCATACTTACAGAACCAACACCTAATTATACGATAAAGCAATAGCCAGTGAAGTATAATACCTTTTGTTGCAAAGTAATGCAAAAAAAAAAAAAAAAAAAAAAATGCATTCAATTTGACTGAGCGTAAGCTCCTGTCTATGTAATACATGCTGTTTCAAAACTGAAGAAATGGAGACTTGTCACATCTTGTTGCCACATAGTATATATCTCCTTTAGAAGATACCTTGTGCTCATGAGATAACATGACATAACTTTAGAAGGAGATTAACGATTATCATGACAAGAATCATAAAATTTGTCATCTTAAGCAACACAGTTTTTGCTACTTTGGAAACATGATCTGAAATATGTCTACAGAAATGCAGGCATGAAATGGATTTCTACTTTTAAACAAAAGACTTGAAACCTTCATTCTTTACAGGAAACAGAAGAATATGACTAAATAATAAAACTTATAGGGCAAGTTTATTTGTCATATATTACAATGATTTCTCATAAAAGGAAGATTCATCAACATGTAGTACAACATTGAAAAAGAAGTACCTATGCAAAAAGATTCTACCAAATAATCATTCATAGGATTCTTCATACAGGCAACCCTTGTTGATGATAGGCTGAAATTCTGGGCTGAGATGCTTAATTGGATAAAACCATGGTTGCATCCACAAAAGGCTGAATATATATAATCAGTCAAAAACTAGAAAGAAGATGATATAATCCATAAAGATTAAAATACGTTTCTATTTCCAATGAGTAACATGAAATTTCATTAAAAAATTTCTCTACTAGTGAATTACAAATAACAACTAACTGCTTTAACCACTTCTCTTACCTGCTTGGAATTCTTCTATCTCATTCATGTTTCTGGACTCCATGGTCTGGTAGACTGTGACATCATGACTGCAATTCACATAAATAACAGAAAACCAGAGTATGAATATCTCAAGCATATGTATTCTTAAAGCAGATCGAATTAACTGTCCCTAACTATGAGTAAAACATTTGCAAGAAGAAATACCTAAACATGGCCAGGAAGTCATCGATAGATTTTTTTTACGCAGCCAGAACTCTAGATGTGAAATTCAAGGTTAAGATGCATTGATAACTTCTGGATTGCGTTTGTAGCTGCCCAACAAATACAAGGACTAATCATTTCAACAAATTTGGACTAGGCTGTCCTAATTTAATCTATAGCCTGCAACAATCAAAGAAAGAGAAGGCTTAGCCATACTTACAGAACCAGCACCTAAATATATGATAAAGCAATAGCCATTGAAATTTAATACCTTTAGTTGCCAAGTAATGGCCAAAGCAGTGAAACCTGTAAAGCCAATTTTGATACTTCATAGGAACAATGATTATGATCCATCAAAAGAACTCACCAGGAAAACTTCCCACAATGATTGAAAGGTCATTCTCAGCAGCGTGCAGACTCTACAAATAAATGTTATATTAAAAAGATTAAGCAGAATCTGGTGACCTACAGTTCCTCTGGAGTCTAGACAAATATTCAGCAGAAAATTAACACCAAAATGCCCTGTTTTTTTCTTCACTATCTCTATTCTTTGTAGTCCTCAGCATACAACAATCAACGGAATGGCCAAGTTGGTAAATAACATTGGAAAATGGAGAAGCTAGGCTTATAAGAGTGATGGACCCGCAAGGGGAAGACTAATGGATCAGAAGGAAATTCCCTGGAATGAAGGGTCAATTTTCAAAGTGTTACATATTGCTTGATAAGGTTTAAATAATTTATTAGTAAGTGTTATTACCATATATCTCCCTAGTTCCATTGTACATATTTTTAATGACGGCAAAGGAGATGCATTGTACTCCAACCTTGACATTTTCTTAATCAATGACAACTTTTGTTGCAAAAGAACTCAAGTGTGACAATTCATGAATAACTACTTGTGGAAACTAGTTTAGAATTTTAATTAAGAAACAGGTTGATATTAAAAGATAAAATAAAACAAGACAAGAGAGAATGTTTTATGTGCTTCGGTCAATAAGTCCACGAATGATGATGTTACTAGGTAAAACATATTTACAAGGCACACCCCCTGCAATAGCTTAGAGTCCCAAATATATCCAATCTCAAGCCACAATCAATCCTTTAGAGACTATGCATTTCTCCACATAAAATAAGCCAGCACTTTCATAAGCTTATAAAGAGGAAAAACCAACATGTCCTTAATGAAGAATTTGCCAAATTTGAGCCAATATTCAACCACTTCTTTGTTTCATGACACAATTTAAGCAGTATCTCTAAGTTAATGCTCCCTCTTCAGCAAATATTAATCACCACAAATTAATGCTGACATGCCTTGTTTTCTCTTTAAAATGTAATTCTTATCTTATCTTCAATAGACATCAAACTTCTTGATGACATACAACATTAATGTGGTCAAACTGAATAGTTAATTTTCAAGAAATCCTGTCACCGTGATGTAATTTTATGAATGACAACCAAAAAGTGGCTGAATAAGTCTTAAAAACAAACATCTTCTGTTTTCCAGATTAAAGAATGTTGGTTAGATTATAAATGACAGCCAAACCAGAAACAAATGACAAAGAAAGTACCTGTCGGATAGACACCATTGTGTAGACAAAAGGAAAAATGAGCTAATTCTACCAAGCTTGTGTGGTACACTATTGTCTGACATTAATTCTTGAAGAATATCATTACATGTTGAACTTGCTTTACTGCATCAAGTATGAGATATTATAAAGGTTTCAATGATAGGAAAAAAGCCTTCCAATAACTTAATAACCAAATGATATCTGGAACAAACCATCATCAGGATTAAGGAATTCTGCTTACTGGGAAAGAAGGAGCTATAGCTATCATAATCTGCAGAAATGTCAGCAATAAGCTGAAGGTCTAATTATAAAATGTTTATCATCTCAAAGTTGTTCTTAAAAAATGCTCTTTTCTCACTGATTTTCAAAAAAATTTAAATTCTCTACTATAAGCTGGTCCATACCTGCGATTTAGGAGTTATTTATGACTAAATTTAATAATTCATGAAACTAACGAGTTTGTGATGTAAAACATGCTGGTCAAGTAAATTAATTGAAGAAGAGCTGCTAAAGATCTTACTCTCACCTTTAAAAATTGACACCATCTAATCACTTGTTCTATTTTGTCTTTCATGTCACAAACATCTACATCAGTCAACAAATCAACTATCCACTCCTGTAACATTTAATTGTGATACATAGGAAGAATAAAAATGTAAAGAAAAATTAAATGCCGGTTATATAAAATACCATTAGCCTAATTACTTACACATCAACAAAATAAAGAGTCGCTTAAGAAAACCATGCATAGAGTTACTGGAGCTTTGTCACACCTGCTTGCATGAGATCCGAAAACAGATCATAGCATGAGATTATTTTCAAAGGATAATAAATTATGAAAGGAATGACGACTCCACAATAAAATAAATGTAATATGCTGTTAATGGAACTCAGTTTTTGTTTCAAAGTAGTCATATGGACAAAGATTTGGAAATTTTTTCCTGCAAACGAAGATTTATTCAATGAAAGAAGAATGCTTCTTAGAATTAAGTTTCAATCTAGTGCTGCCAGTTCGTAGCATGTTTTGTGCATCTCAAACATGCTACTTGGAATTTTCATACATAAAATCCATGTTAACAAACACAAAGACTGGTGTGAACATCTCAAACAAAGTACATACATGTATTCAATTTATTCATCTTGATAAATTTGGAAATCAAAATCTCTAAGACAATGTAATAACTATACAAGAATATCCTTGAAAAATGTTAAAACAGGATTTGATACAAACTAGAAGTTGATTTCTACTTCAAAATTTAAGACTTGATACATACTGAAGGCAACTTTTTGTCACATATGCAGTGATAACTCACAAATAAGTGCAATTTCGGAAAATAAAGTACCTGAACCAAGGGATTCTGGAAAGCATGGTAACTCTTGTTAGTGCAGGCAGCACTTGTTGATGATATTACTAAGTAGCTGAGATTCTTGGACAACTCATGAATTGCATTGGTACGAAGGTTGTAGTGATATATATTCAGTCAAAAACTAGAAGAATGATTATTGAAATTGAAAAGATTGAAAGTTGTTGCAAATTTCTAAGACAACATGGAAGTTTGATCAAAATTTTCTCCTCTAGCTAAATCACAAATAACAACTAACTAAAAATCGTAATATATAAATTACCTTTGCATCAGCAGCAACCCAGTATTCATGAGAATTCATCAACCTTATCAATTTCAGAGCCTTCATCAACTGTGATAAACATGTGCGCAAGTCTTTTGCATCATCACTTCTCCCACCTTCATACATTCTCCCCTCTCGTCATAGTCCGGAAGTCCAAAATATTCAGTTAAGCAACCTAAAGGAGGATAATGATAACATGGTCTCCTTCTGTTCTATTTTGGCATCATCCCTCATCATCCTGCAGGTTAGATGAACACACAGATTTTGTTTTAAATATATCTCCTACAAGCCATTTGCTCTTTACAATTTTGCAGTTAAGTAGGGTGACATCATCGCCTGAATCCGTGTTTAGGTAAGCTTATTAATTGCACCAAACTTTCAGGTCAAATTTCTTTTCAAGCAATGAAAAATGAAAATCCTCGTCCTTCTATAGTTGAGCAAGTAAATTATTAAATAATATATATATTATAATATTAATTTCTTGTCACATAGATTTTGTTTTAAATATATACAATTGGAATTGATTAAATCTCTTACTACAATAATTGATCAATTAAAGTAAAACTGTTGTATGGTCGGTTAGTTAGAAATATCATGAACAACTAATAAATGATAGAAAATATGTGTATGTATAACTAATTGATTGATATTATGCTTGTGCTAACTTCCATATTTTGAAGTTAAAAATCCAATAGTAAGTGCAAAGGATGTTAAAATTGATTTTTGAGTAACATTTTGACTTTATGTTGCTTCTATTATTTATTCAAAAAGTTGTAAAAATATTAACACCAAAGTATCTCATCCAAAATTTATTCATCATAAAAATGAAGCTAATCGGTAAGGAGAGGAGAAATTACCTGTGGATTGATCACGATTGTCCCTTTGCAGAATCAAAGTTGACGTTAAGACTTGAGAGATGCTGGTCAAAACTGGATGAGATGATGTTGATGAGCTATCAATTTACTCAAGTTCTTTCGGGAATATAACAACCACTAATTTCAGATTCTAGTAGTCATTTTCTTGTTATGTTCTTCACTTGAACAGAGACCCTACATTGGTTCAAATCCTATTATTTTGAGTAGATAAAATGAATTTGTTACGTTTACGAAAAACATAAAATATCAATGCAAACCAATCCTTAAATTACAAGCTTTATATTAATAGTATAATTAGATTCATTAAGATGATTAAAGAGTACAAAAATGGTGATTGATAATTAGGGTATTAAATATTATAAGATGTGAGTTATTCCCCCCCGCCCAAAAATGATAAAGAATGTAATACAACAAGTAAATTAAAAGGGAAAAGAGAGGAAATTATCTGTGGTTTGGAGAAAAATTAGTGTTGAATTCATAATTTCAGAGAACTTAATCAGTATCAGACGAAGATGACAATAAGCTATTGGTTCTCTGTTCTTAGGAGAAGAGAACAATTATCTATTTCCTTCTTCAATGTTGTCATCTGATGAAGGTGGTTTGGTAGAGACTTTAATTTGCAGTAGAAATGAAGTTTCAAGGTTCGAAGAGATGGCATGACTATAACATCTTCATCTCCTCTCTTTCTAATCCCGTAATTCCACTCTTCCCATTCTGCCATCCCCCAAAAGGAAAGATATTTCAATTTGGGAAACGCTATGATCGATGTAGAAGATGTCTTGGCATCGCTCTCTATTCCCAATAACTCATTACCCACTCTTTTCATACTCTTCATTCTATTTATCAAAAGAATTTCAAAGGATGATAACTTACCCAAAGGAGACAGATGCTCACAATTTATCCAATCGAAAAGACATAACTTTCTCAATTTGGTTAATGACATAATCCAATTAGGGAAAATTGTGTTGCCACTGTAAAATTGTAGCACAAATATCTCTAAATTTGGATGTGGTTGAAACTCCTCAAGAAGTTCTTGATTTTGCTCCATATTCATGCTCCCCTTAAAGTCTACCTATAAATCATGCAAGTTTTGTATTGTTCTGGTTTGAAACTTGGTGATTATATCATAATCATATAAGCATGAATGTGATCCCTATCAAGTTTTAGCATTGCTTGATAATTAATAAATCATTCATGTAATAGAGAAGTAAGTAAAAAATATATATCATATATATTATTGATTCCTTATCAACTCAAAACATAATTTCATATGAGAATATTAGTATGTTTATATGGGCTTTGGGCCCAAACCCAAAAAATTGGGTTGGTTTTGTTAATTGTAATTTAGTACCGCATATGAAAAACACATCATATGAGATGAGAATATGTGGATACTACTTGAACGGTGAAATA